CCCAAATAATACAAGATAAAATAAATTTTCTTCCTCTTATTCGCTTCATCAGCTAAGGTACTCTTTACTTTAATGATTCATATTAATTTTATACACTAACCGGCTAGTTTTTATTTAATCAATATTTTCTTTTGGTCCAGGAGTGATAATAATGAAGAACAGATACGCGGGTCTGTCCAGCCTTTGGGCCACATCAAGATACGATGAAGAAGAATTCGAGGAATCCGACGTTTGGGAATCAGTTACCGGTCCGGACAAAACCGGATTTCCGGTTCCCATAAAGGCATCGATCCTCACCAAGCGCATCCAAACGGCGACCGAGATTTGTATACCAAAACCCGGTAAGAATAGCTCCGCAACTCGATACGAGCAGCAGTCGGCCCCTGTGGACGTTCCCGATTGGTCCAAAATTTACGGCGGCAGAGGGGCGTTTGGCGGGAGCTGGGAGAGCGAGGAGGATGAGTCGGAAGGGAATTTGATTCCGCCACACGAATGGATTGCGAGGAAAAGGACGTCGTCGTTTTCGGTGTGCGAAGGCGTGGGGAGGACATTAAAGGGGAGGGATTTGAGCCGGGTCAGAAATGCGGTGCTCACCAGAACCGGTTTTCTTGAATCTGATTGATTATTTCGATTATTAGGACTTTCTTTTTTTTTTTTGAATTAAAAAAATGGAAGTATTAGAAGATTATTATTTAGGATTATTTTAGTATTTCGTTTTATTTTATTTGTGTGGTTGTTTTGTATGTCGTTGCCTACTTGTTTTCNCTTTCGTTTCATATGTTTTGTTGTAGCATTTTACTTGCGTTTGTGAATTTGTTCAGAAAATGTATGTTGTATTTTCCGTAGTCTTCGTTTGATATTTTTTAAAGTGGTAATGTAAATTATTTGTTTGTTCTATTAGCGGATAGCTGCTGATGGTTAATTCAGTTAATTTAATCATATTTGTCTTTTTTAAAAAAAATAAGAAATTGAAAAATGAAATGACAAATAGGGATAGTGCCAAATATATTAACGACCATCATAATATCAAGAACCTCGCCAAGTAGAGTAGTCAGGTCTATCATTATATAAACCATAGGGAGAATAATAGATACAAATCAATCACGTCACTTGAAGATTCCTTGAAAAATGATAACTTATTAGTGGCTGTGTGATGTGTCCATGCTAGCAAATTGGCGTCATTTATTCATCAAATTATTTAATTAGTTTTGTTGTCCAAAACACTAATTCAAAAAAAATCAGTAAATGAGTGTTCGAAAATAAAAAAGATATATAGAATAACATCTTCATATAAAATTTTCACTCAAAATAGGCATACAATTCTCTATTTATCTAACATCTATATATAAAAAGGTTTGATTATTTTTTAAATAGTAATTGTTTCTCGCCAAAAATATATTGTTTACTAAATCTGAAAATTATTTAAACATTTTATGGTATGGTTTAAAGATATAGTTTAGGTAATTGCGGCTGATTTATTAAGGTAATTGTTGATAAACAGATTAAATCAACGTAGTTAAGATTTAAAACACAACGAGAATTGCAGAGAATATGATTTTCATTGAATTTTATGAGGTCGGTTACAGTTTTGAACAAGTCGGTATTTTAGTACAGGAGGTCGAAAACAGAGGAAGCCGAGGTAATAAATGCATGAATTTAATGTGTTGGTCGTGGTCCTCTTATCGATTTTAATGCTGCTATTTATAGTTACGTCTGACACACCTTCCAAGAGAAGTCGGCTGTATTTAATGCGAATTTGATGTTTTAGGGACGACAATGACGTTAGCACACTTTTTAGGTAATGATGAAAGCATGGGTGCCCTTCTTATTGAGTGACAGGCGTCACTTCTGTCGGGTCGAGGTCAGAATTTTCTAGACGTCAGTTGTCCCATAGGTCTGTTAACCTGCAACGTCCTTCCCCAAAGAACCCTTTTAGATCCGAGATGGCAATCCTGAGGTCACTTGTTTAATGATGGGGCGATCTTGGGAGCTTGCTTCGTTCGTCTTGGAAAACGAGGTGGTAGTACCGAGATGCCGATTAGTTATCGAGACGATATCGAGGATCCCCATCGCACCTCGGCCTTCTAGTAATTAACTCTGAATTCTTCTTAAATCTATTCGAAAACGCTCTTAATCTGCGGAATCCGGTTTTGGTATTAACATAGAGGCCCTTGTCATTAAGGAGTATGCAGACAAGCGTGCTTCTTAGTGACACTTTCACCTCGACCAGCTTTAGCTCTAAAGTCATTCGCAGAACTTCTAGGAGTATACCGAGGTGATTTCCTTAGATGAGAATTTCACATTTCCGCGATCACTTGACGAGTATGAAATTAAGAAGCGGTTACTAGGCAGTTTCCAGATGCTATGAACGTGTCTTCCCCACTATTCCTCTCAAGGGACACGTACCATAAATGATGGTCGGGGATCATGGTATTCTACGGGACACGTGTACGCTTACGATTAAGTTTCGAACATTTATGATGGGATTAAGGAGGTTTCTCCAAAAGACACAACTGTTACTCAGGCATTTTCATCCCAACGGTCGGAAAACATCGCATACATATATATATATATAGCCGTGGTATTGGTTCGCAAAATTCATCTAAACAACTCATTCATATCTTTGATTTCTTGAATCACTTTTGTTATCAAACTTTCCCCTTTTTTCTTTGTTCTTCAACGACTCACGAAATCCCTTAAGAGTTCACTCAAGTTTTCGGTAAGCCCTAATCTTATCATTTGATTTCTTAATTTCTTTTTATTTTTCTATGCCCGTGGTTATGGCGGTGAGCGGTGAGCAAGGAGAACCAAGCAGCAGCCGGACCGTGTCTGATATGGAACTGGACGATGAATTGATGGAATTAATGGGGGATTATTACCGATGAGACCCTGTTTTCGTCGAGCGTCTGGATATCCTAAAGAACAACATTGAGGGAGACGGCGAAGTTGAAAAAGACATTCCTGTCAAATCGGGATACTGGAGTCGTCCTGCTCGGCGATGGTCCAATAACGACGTATTATTTTTAGGGGAGCCCAACATTATGACGGATGCCGACGTGGTTCTGCTGCGCGAGTCGGTGCGGATTCCCTCCTCAGTTAGGATCTTTGCTCCTTATTCGGGAGAAAGAATTCATTGTTCTCCCCCCAGTTGTGTAGGGATTTTTGCCGAGAGCCTAAGGTCGGGTTTGAGGTTTCCTCTAGACAACGTGATCACCGACTACTTGTGAGATTAGGGTCTTAGTCTTAGTCAAGTGACTCCCAATAGTTGGAAGAAAATCATAGGAATCACGGTCCTTCTGGCACAGAAAAAACTACCATTCCCAACGATTGACGAGTTGAGAAGTATATTTCACTTCAAGAGGAGTAGGGAGCGTGAGGGAGTCCCACCGACCAGTTGTTTTTTCTGCGCGGCGAGGCCACAGTACGACTTAAAGACGGGGCAACTGATTACAGGAATCCCTGAGACCCTTCATGGCTTCCAGGATGAGTGGTTGTGGGTTGGTGGAGATTGGCAGTCTCCTGACTTCCGACTTGAGGCACCAATTGACGGGATGACGATCCTGACTCGAGTTGTTTTCTCTTTTTGTAAGTTTCTCTCTTTTACCCGAAATCTCCTGACGAGATGTTTTTCCTTCGCTAACAGGTCGGACCTTTTCATATTTGTAACCAAAAGGAAAACAGAACCCAAACTCAGCAGAGAATTCAGGGAGAAACTTGAGGATTTGGCCAAGCTAGGTGTTTCGGAGCGCAAGTGGAATTTGTTGAAGAAGAACTCGAAGCTTGCAGACGCCAAATTAGGAGCGAAGAAGGCTATTCCCGACTTCGAACCTGGTAAGTTTTCTGTTATGTTAGTTAAATCATTCTCTGTTTGTTTTCCTTTCTCTCTTGTGTGAATTGAAGGAACCCTTTTACTGTATTTTATTTGCAGTTTATTACCTGTTACTCGGTTTCTTCGGTTTCAAGTCCGTTCGAGAGGCAAAGGATTACCGACGTCGGTTTTCTGTCAAGGATACCGAGATAGGTCGCATGAATTTTCTGGAAGGATTGAAGAAGAAGACAGCTAACCGTGCTTCTGGGGGTGCCGATATTGGGGTCACGTCGGGCTCGCCAGTTACAATTGCGATTCCGGCCCCAATTACCGAGCCTGTTCTGGAACCTACTCCTGAGACAAATACCGAGATGGTAGTTCTAACCCCGGTTGCTTCTCCCGAAGTGGAGAGAGACGTCGAGAGGGTCCAACCTGATCTTCATGTGATTGTATCAAGTGCGGAGGAGGCTGAGCAGGTCAAAAAAGCGACGGAAGAACCCTCGACACAAAGGAAGAAGAAAAAGAAATTCAAGAGAAAGGCTGGTGAGGGACTCGAGGCAGAGGGGGAACGACGATCTAAGGCCAGGATGCCGGTCAACTAAACTTGGAGAAGAATGCTCCAGTCCATCAAGATGGGGGTAACACTTACTTGCCCATTGACGAGGAGAGGATCCTCAATCTTAATTTTCCAGACGACATTATGGAGAGCTGGTTTACACAATTCCATTCTATGATCGTTCCGAAGTTTACCAACAAATTTCATTAGCCTCCCCACGTGATGGAGGCAGCTCGGGTTCCGTTGATGTCCTGGGACACTTTGACTGAGGCGCGGGTGTCCGGACTGTCGAGTACTTATCGATTTAGCTATGCCAAGGCAACTTTGGGAGAGCCTTGGTTGTCCTCTGTGCTATGGAAGATTAATTTCGCATGAATGCTGCCACTCTTAATGAACGAAAGGACAAATTAGAGTTACGTGATGGTCAACTCGTGTCTCTGGAGGCAGACAAAGCTGCCTTGACCACCGAGGTGGAAGAAAAGACTGTTTAACTCGCCACAGCCAAGACCGAGATCGAAGGGTTAATGGCTGAGAAGAAGCGTTTGGAAGATGAGGTGCGCAAACTTACAACGCAAATCGGTGCCTCCGAGATGGAAGTTAGGAACAATTTGAATCGCTACTTGAAAGAACAAGAAGAGCACCAAAGGACTCGGGAAGAACACTAGAAAACTCGCCAAGATCAAGCTGATAAGGAGGCCCAACTGATACGCTCGGCAGAGGCACATGCTGCCGAGTTGGTGAAGTTAGAGAAGGAAAAAGTTGACTTCGGAGAGCTTATGCGTGCTCAAGGTATCGAAGAAGGTAAGGAGCTCGGTAAGCAAGAGTTCAAGGGCTCCGCCGAGATGGAGAGGGACATTGAGCTTAACTCTTGCTTGAACCTCTGCTGGGTGATTGACCGCTTTCAATCCGGTGTATACAATGTTGGAGATCTTAGGGCCATCATGCTTATAAAGATGGAGAGGTTCGGGTTTGACCCCGAGATTGAGGAAATCCATGTTCCTGCCGACGACGATGAACGAGCCTATTGCGAGCTGGTATTGGATGTCACCGAGGCAGATGTCGTTGCTCGTGGATATCCTCCTCTGGATGCAGATAGGCGTGCCGCACTTCGGAGAGCATATGTCGATATGGTTCTCGAAGGAAAAAAGGAGAAGAGGGCAGAACTGGCCGACGTGTTTATCTCTACTCTTGCTGATTTTACCGTCGAGCAACATCTCAAACTCTTAACTCCGGCTCAGATCAAGAAAAAAGTGGTGGA